GAAGACGGCTCGGAAGCTCCAACTGGTCCAACGATCAGGAGCCAGGATGCTAACTGGGGCCCCTTACAGAGAGAGGTCAACCCTCCTGTTCAAGGAGCTCCACTGGCTGCTGTTTATATTCCGAGCCCAATTTAAGGTGCAGGTGCTTACCTACAAAGCCCTGAATGGTTTGGGACCAGCCTACCTGTGTGACCGCATTTCCATCTACGAACCCACACATTTACTTCAGTCATCTGGAGAGGCCCTGCTCGTGATCCCACCGGCGTCGCAAGCGTGCTTGGTGGGGACGCGGGACAGGACCTTTTCCGTGGTGGCCCCCTGACTCTGGAACACCCTCCCCAAAGACCTTAGACAGGCCCCTACATTGGCTGTCTTCAGAAAGAACTTGAAGACCTGGCTTTTCCGATGCGCCTTCCAGATTAGGAAATCTCCACTACCAAGTCCCATAAGCACTTTATCAGAACCAATGATTGCTGCACATCGCACATCGCATTTGCTCTAGAAGCCCTATATACACCTCCTGTCACATCAGCACTTTTAATCTTTGTACCCATTCTCTGGCCCGGCCCAGTTTTATTGTGTTTTAGTGTATTGTGCCTGTTGTTTATTTTGCTTTATTCTGTTTTTAATTGTTTGATTTGCTTAGATTGTATTGTTGTGTTGTGTGTTGAGGCCTCGGCCTGTGTAAGCCGCATCGAATCCTTCGGGAGATTCTAGCGGGGTACAAATAAAGTTTAATAATAATAATAATGCTGACAGCGTGTGACTTACCTAAGGTTACTCAGGCCCCTACCACATAGCTGAATAAAATCCCACATTTTCTGCTTTGAACCGGAATATGTGGCAGTGTGGACTCAGATAACCCAGATCAAAGCAGATATTATGGGATTTTCTGCCTTGATATTCTGGGTTGTATGTCTGTGTGGAAGGCCCTCGGTGCTTTTCGTGGCTGAGCAATGGTTCAAACCCTGGCCACAAAGTCATAATTCAATACTCAAACCACTATGTTATGCTTGCTCAAATACAGGCCATCAACATTTCTAGAGGAAACAGCATATTCATAAGCATTGTCCAACTCACAAGTAGCCCTTTGCTTGTCTGTATTTGGGCCAGCACTTTTAATTGCCTGCACGCTTTTGGACTAGTTAGAGGTTTTCTGATTTAAAGACACCTGTTTTATACTTGAAGCAGACGATATTCTATACTTTCCCCCCAATGCCTGAATCACTTGATCTATGCTTTTGGCTGGAATTCTGCTAGCAGTTGCATTTTCTTCCAGGGCAATACAGTGGGAAAACCAAAGCTGTCATCTGAGAATCCTGTTGCCCCAGTGCCCTATGTTCTTTTCAGCTATATGAACCCCTGAGCCCTTTTCTCCTAGTGTCACCACCTTGGATGCTAGCCAAGGTCCATTGACATGGGTTCCTCTTGACTTGGGTGCTTCCAGGTCACTCTCCAGCAAGGATTCATCCAGTGGGAGGCATGCCATTCTAGGAGTCTAGCCATTACCCCCAGTAAAGAACTCTTTGTTGCCTAGCATCAGTTGATTTGGATCTCCAGTCCAGAACAGGTGCTTGATTGGAACAATGTGACAGGGAGTTCAGCATTTCTGAAATGTATCCAGCAAGTGTATCACTCAGTTGTTTGTCTTGATCATTGTTTGCTCACACTGGAGCCTCAAACAAATGCACACAAAGCAGAGAATGAATATTTAACCACTTGGAGTGTTCTGCTTAGCTATGGTATATTTGTGCTACTGTGAACAGAAGTTTGGAGTCCTGTTACCATCACTCAGGACACACCTAGAAACACACTGTTGCTCAACACAACTGCCTGACTGTTACAAGGGGTCCAGATAGATCAGAACTGTGGTTGAGCAGCTCTGTAATGAAAACATGGTAGGTACCATTTTGTAAGAATTTTATCCCCATGGCTGCAATTCTGCCCATATTTATTTCCGAATAAGACTCACTAAGCATGGTGGAAGTTTCTTCCAAGTAACATATACGGAATTGCACTACACTGCTGAAATCCTACACAAAGTTAGCTTGGAGTAAATTCAATTGAACTCAGTGAAATTTATTTCTGAAAAGACATGCAGGGGATTATGCTTTAAATAAATTTTGAATAGATAGAATATTTAAAAGTAAATATTTTTAATAAGGACATATTGCCAGATGCCCTTGTTTTCAAAATAAAATTATGCAAAGTTGCTACAAATCAAAACAAGCCCTGTCGGGCAGTAACAGAAATACTTGGATCTATGAAGGACTGTTTCTCCACATTTCAACATTACAATATTTGTCATCTAATTCTATCTGTAGAAATAAAGCAACATATTGTTTTGAATATATAGACTGATACTTGTCTAGAATGGAATACTAAATTTTACTAATTAAACACCATAGTTTCAGCATAAAAGAAGATGATTTCCTCAGTATTGCAAAGAAATGGAAATGTCCCTAATTTATCACTTTCAATGAGTGAGAAAATGGAAATGTTGCAAATTACTTTGTTGCCTTCTTCCAATTGCTAAAAATATTACTGGTATCAAATTGTGTTTGTGTCTTAATGCACAGTTTATTTTCTATGTATTAATATTACATTGCCTACAGTCACAAGAGTAAAGCAAAATTCATGGCTTACTGTGAACAACCTGCATGCTAATGCGCACAAGCTATTTATTTCCCCTTCAGTTGAATAGGTAGAAATACCATATAAGCTCATGTATATGTTGAGCTCACGAACAAGTTGAAGCAGTTTTTGGAGCCAAAAAAGATGGATATTTTTCATGACCTATAGATAAGTCAAATGTTTGAGAGGGGAAAGCACCAATGCTGTCTCAGGAGGCCAGCCATCCCTGGCCACCTCACTATTTTCCTGTCCAGGTATTCAAAAAGTCCAGAAACAGATCAACAGTGGAAAGGGTAGAGGGCATTGGTGATTCTTCCTGGAATGAACTGAAATCTTGCTTCTTGCCACTCAGAGAAGGGGATGATTCCTTTTTAGTTGTTGCTGTTAAGAAAGATAAAGTACATACGTTATCCTGTGGATAAGTTAACCCGGGGGGGGGGGGGGGGTTACTATATTTTCTAGACTTATACATGAGCATATAGGGTAAACATATTGCGAGGTCTAAACTTGGGATCCTGGTTTGTTGTTCTCAAATAAGTCAGGCTTTATAAGTCCATGTTGAGTTCAGTAAATCTGTAACCTAGTTCTTTCAGGGATATATTTTAGATTTCCTTTCCCATTTCCAAAGTGCATTATTATTCTGTCTGGATAGATAGACAAATAGATCAACTTTTCTATATATTAATATAATCAAAAGAGCCTCTTCCCCAAAAATATTATGTGCCAACAACAGAGAACTTGGCTTGTTGTGATCGCTGATCATTGAGGTAATAGAAATGCCAAAAATACAATGGCATGAGTGTCCACTCAATTATTTTTTAGGTTTTTTTAATTATTTTAGTCTGACTGCTGTATCTTCTGATTCTTTTTTTCTTTCCTTGTGGAGATAGGATGGAAAACAAATAAAGTGTTGTTGTTGTTGTTCCTAGAACAATAGTTTTAAATATTTTAACAAATAAAGTGCATGTATATGTAGCCAATATAGTAATTTGCTAATATAGACTGAATATTCTTTATTGAAATACTTGAGACCAGAAGTGTTCTTTATTTTGGATTTATTTTACTGCATTGTATTTAGGCAGTCTCTAAGTTACAAACATCTGACTTAGGTAAGAACAAGGGTGAGCCCACAGGAAATGAGAAAAATCTCCTAGGAAGGAAAACTCACTCCTGAAAGAGTTGATATTGGGAAAGGATGGCTCCACTGAAGTTGTGTCACCAATCCTTGTTTCCACAACAAGTCAAAATTTTAAAAATCCAATTATCATAGGGACAGAAAATAAGGGAAAATCTTCTGAACAGGGGCACAAACAGCAAAACAAACACCACAGGGGTGTTAGCCCTTCCCTATGCTGTCCAAAACGTGTGTGTGTGTGTGTGTGTGTGTACATATATAGCTGGAGATACACTTTTAAAGGTTACCTGTTCCAACTCACATACAAATTCAATTTTAGAACAAACCTACCGAAAATATCTTGTTTGTAATTTGGGGACTGCTTGTAATTACATATATATAGTAAGATATTCTGGAGATAGTACTAAACAGGAAATTCATTCATGGTGCATATACACATAGCCTGAAGACAATTTTATACACAATATTTTTAAAATTTTGTGCATAAAATAAGGTTTGTATATTATGACCTATCAAAAACTAAAAGTATTGCTCTGTCAGCTATCCATGTAGACAACTTTGGACTTTTGAATTCTAGATAATCGATGCACAACATGTATTGTCAAAATTCATCATGTAAAGTATGTGTACATGCTAGTATGCACACATGCTGTATTTCTATCTATTAATTGATTTGTGAATGCAGAGATCTAATTAGTTTTCATATATTCCATTTTGGGTGGGTATATACACACAACCTTAATAATTATGTGCATTTTTATAGCCATTTCACTGCCTGAAAAAAAATTAGTATATAAGTTTGTGGAATGTGCAAACAGACTTTTTGTGTGCATCTTGTTTTATGTGGAAGTTGGAGTACCTATTGTAGATATTGAATTGTGAATGAGTCAGACTTTTAAACTACAAAAGCAGTCACCTCCACATGTCCACATATTTATCATTCTATTTGTTTATTTATTAATTAATTTTACTAGATTTTTTGAATCAATAGCTGATTAAGGAACTGATATGGCACTGATATTGGGGAGAGGGGGTCAATAAACTGAAGCTCTGAGTATTTTAGTAGAATAATAACAGCAGAAATATATTACACAAACCTTACATCTACATTTTGAATATGTATTTATATGTTTAAAAAATGAATTATTATAAGTCAGTAGTTATCAGTTTGTTTTAGCTCTGACTCATCTGTACCCATATGGGTTTTGTTGTCTGTATGTTTGTTTTTTAGCCTTTTGCAGCCAATATTTACTACCCATTGCCACGGCCAATATATCGAAATTATTGGGCAGGTATGCCAGGCTCAACATTTCCTTTCCAGAGTAGCAGTGACCACTTTGGAAACATGCTTGCTGCTCCTAGTGTGGTTCCTGCCTTTAAGTTTCAACTGCGGAGGGACACCATAGACTGGAGGCGATTCAGTGCCATCGATGTGGATCGGGTGGCCCGTGAGCTGGATCTTGCTACTCTCCAAGAAAACATCAATAGTGTCACCTTTTGCAATCTTGATGCAGAGAAGTGCCCATATTGTCAACAGCCAGTAGACCCTGTTCTCTTAAAGGTCCTCAAGATGGCCCAGCTGACCATTGAATACCTACTCCACTCTCAGGAGTACCTGAGCATGAACTTGGCACTTCAGGAGGAGCAGCACCAGGCATCCCTTGAAGACATAAAGCACCTCAAGCGTGACTTGGATAAGCAAGCAGAAGAGCTGAAGAGTGTCAGGGAAGAAAGCAGAAGGCGGAAGAAGATGATTGCTACCCAGCAGTTGCTCCTGCAAGCTGGAGCCAATAACTACCATAAGGTTAGTTCTAAGGAGATGGGGGAAAGGCTTGATCCTTTTCTCAGTATGATATCTATGTCTGAGCATGTTTATAGATACTGCAAACAGTTTTTGTAAGTGCTCCTTGTTTTCTATATGACAAGGATACAAAGTCATCTCCCTCATTTGGGGGCTTATCTTTTGTGGATTTGATTATCATGATCTGTTTAGGAATCCCTGAAATTCCTAGAGAGGTATTAAAATATATAGGATGGGTTTTTTTATTCATGATTTTCTATCTTTCACAAGAGTTGTACCCCTAACCCCCATGGAAGTGGAGGACTTATTGTATCTGTATATATCCCAAAGATTTATTAAATGTACATAGGAAGATATATGCACTTATACATCTACTCTTCTAGAAAGGGTTATGTTGGAAAACATACTTCCAGAACACAATCACATATTGTATTATTTTTAGTATTCTTTGCCGCTTTGGGTGTCTTTTGACAGAGAAACAGAGGCATAATAATAATAATAATAATAATAATAATAATAATAATAATAATAATAATGTTATTTGCTGAAAGATCTTGGGAGATTATAGTTTCAAAAATGCAACTTTTTCAAGCAAGCCCAAATACCAGTATTTGATATTTATATAGAGATGGTTAGTGAGGTGGAAAAGGAAGTAATATGCTCTTCTGTGTGAGTCTGCCCTCTCATATCATTTATTATTATTGTTATAGTTGTTCTTTTAAAAGACACATCCTGTAAAGATTAAATACAGACAATTGAGCAGGATTGTCCTTCAGGATCAATTAGATCCATGCAGTTACATTGTTCACAGGAAATATGTATGCTTTTTGTTTTTCTTCTACCATTTTTATATGAGAGAGGCTGCAGAAGCAAAGATCAATAGTCAACTATTAGGACTACGAAAGGACTAAAATTAGTCCTTTCTGTTTTCACAGAAGTTTTCACAGAAGTTTCTAGATAAAGGGTCTAATACTTGAGGATATTTTTAACATATGAGTAGGCCTGCATTAATACCGGAGACAGTCAAGTTAGTCTTTTGATTCCCTGTTATGTGATGATTTTATGTAAAGTGGTTGAATGAGAAGAGCATGAGAAGCCTTGGGAAGTTCTCCCATCCTTAACTTCTATGCTTAACCTTTCAGTGTGCTTTATCTTGAAACTTTTCATCTGCTTCCCCTCTCTTTTTTGTTAGTGCCAGCTGTGTGACAAGACCTTCATGAATTATTCCTTTCTTCAAGCCCACATGCAACGCAGGCACCCTGAAGCTACTGAAGCTGGTGAGATCCTGGGGTCAATGTGTATTCATTCTGAGTTTTTGCAGGAAGGGAATTTCAGACTACAGTGAACAGGAGGGGAATGTCTATTCAAGATCATGTAGTAATGACATAATTTCCAGAACTTCTAGAGCAGAGGTAGGCAAAGTATAGGCTGCAGACCCTAGGGCCTCCTAGGAAGAGTCAAAAGTGTTCCAAAATGCTCTCCAAAGCCCTCCATGGCTTATGGAAGGCATTTCTGTCACATTTGAAGACATCTGGACCACTCAGAAATCAAACAATTTTTAACTCCAAAATGCTATTTTTTAGCTTCAAAATGACCTTTCTGCATGTGGTATTTCCACAGCTCATTTAGATCTCCAAAAGGTTTTTTTAAAAAAAAAAAAAAACCACACACACAAGAAGCATGTACATTAGTAATTGTCTAAGTATTCTGGCCATGTTGTTTTCCCCAACCATTTATGTTTAGAATAGAAACTGATATTTTTGCAGTTGAGGGCATTGCTAATGATGCCTGTCTTGGAATCAACTTAACAGAGAAGGAGAAGAAGAAACAGGTGCAGCAAATGGAAAGTGAAATTGAAGAATTGAAGATCAAGCTGAAGGAGACCCATATCCAACTGGAGACTGAGAGTCAGTATAGAACTCAGGTATGAACGAATACAAATATTAATGAAACAAGAACTCAAAAAAGCCCAAAGCACTGGCTGGTAGCCTCCTACATGGGGGTGGCTGCTCAGGGGCTCAATATGCTCCCTGCTGGTTTCCCATATGACTTTGGAGATGTGGCCAAGGATGTAGGACCATTTGGGATATTGGGTGAAGAGGTCATTCCACATTGCTATACTCCAGAATTCCCATTGCTTGCTGTTTGAACACAACGCAAAAGATTCTACCAAACGTGCCGGTTGTTGTTGGAATCATTATTGGAATTCAGCCTGTGTTTGTGTTTCAGGATCACGGTGCTTCTGGTGTGGGAAATGATGTGGGAAATGATTGCACTGAGGTTCAAGATGGTGATGGTCTGGTCAATGATATTCATGCCGAGAATGACAGAGAGACACCAGTTCAAAGGGCAGTTTCTCATGAGAATGTTCCTGCAGGACATAGGGATGATGGTTTACTCCCTGACTCTGTGAGCTCTCAAGATTTGGGGTTTGAAAACAACTTGACAACTGGAGAAATTAATGAGAAGCAAGATAAGGAGCTCACAGATAGGCGGCTAGAGTTCAGCCAGAATAGGCAGCTAACTCAAGGTTTGTGTCACTCCTCCATGCTCCAAGAGATAAGAGCCAAGAGCGATAGCCAAGGAAAGCGAAACCAGTTTTTGAGTTTTGGGATAGAAGGTTTGCCTCAAGGGAAAATTTTTTTAGATCAAGCATCGTTTCAGAAACCTACTTCTTGTTCCATAGAAGTCTTGCTTGGAAGATTCATGTTAAGGGTACTTGTTCATGGTTGTATTTCTTGGTCTTTTTGGAGTTGGTTACAAAAGTCTGGATTTTGCCTTTAGACTTTGTTAAACCCTGCCTTGAATTGCCTGTGTATTTTATTGAATCCTGCTTTGGATTACTTTGTTCCTGCTGATCTTTTTACCTTATTGTTACTTCTCTACTTTCTTAAAAGCATATATTTTCAACTGGCTATTTTACTAAGCTTCAATAAAAAATGATTGTTTTCCTATTCATCACGTGGTGTTTTGAAATCAGAGGGTTATTCCTGTCCTGGAGTGCAACAATTATCTTAGTTAGCCACAACCATTCTGCATTTTTCCTAACCAATTTTGACTTTTAATATCCTTGACAGGAAGCAGAGAATATTCGTCAAAGAGAAGAGGAAGGAAGAAAAAAGTTTGAGAGATGGAAGGAGGAGGAAAGGGCAAAATTCCAAAAGGAAATGGAAGACCTTAGGCAGCTCTTCCTTACTGAATTCAAGGATATTTCCAGCAGGAATTCTGCCTTGGAAGGGGTAAGAGTAATGTGTGATTTATTATTTTCCTGTCAACTTAAACATTCAGAAAATCACTACTGGGCGCTAAACTGTGTAATATGATTTTCAAGGGAGCTACACAGCAAAATATTTTTGTATTGCCTCTGCATTGTGGGATGGGAGCCTGCATGTTTCATGCCACAAATGAAGAGGGAGTGTTGTTTCTCCCAAAAAACAATCTGACAGAGAATGTTTCACATCTGGTACCTTCTTACACATAAAGTGTTTAGTGTTTAGAGCTCTTTGATAGCTGGGAGGAAAACTGAGTTCTTTACATGGTACTGTAGGTGTTGATACAAAGCCAGTTTATATGCCTAGTCTAAAAGGCTAAACTAAACATCTAAATACAATGTTGTTTGGATGAAAAGTTAATCTGGAAAAAATTAGAATTGTATATTAAATTGGAAATATGTGAAACTCAGGGATCCCATTGTGTTCAGATTCTGTTCTTTCAGGGTGGGAAAGAAATGCATTTCTTTCTTTAAATAAAGTTAGGTCTTTGATCCATTGGGCTAGTCTTCTATTTTTTCCTAGTTATGTGGATAGGAAAGTTCCCTTCACTCTTACTACCTCATCAGATGGGCAACATTGCCTATCGTACGACACTCCCTCTTCACTTGTGGCACGAAACATGTTGGCTCCCATCCCACAATGCAGATTTACTTCCGGCAAGGCTTCATGGTGCAGGTGGAGAGGGAGTGTTGTAAGCCACTGTGGCAGCAACATGGAAAGCTTCCCACCTTGCATAGGCAACAATGGGTGAAAGCCAGGCAGTAGACAATTCCCCCCATGAGATGGGGTTAGAGGAAAGCCAGGTGACATGGAGGATGGTGTGATGGGTTCCCCACGATGCAGGGCAAATCCCACCTTTCATGTGATGAGGTCCTAAATGTGTCACATTACTATAAAAGATCATTATTTTGGGGGCAATTTGGCAAAGAAGCAAAAACCCAAGTTAAGCTCTAGGAGCAATTAAAACAAGAAAATGGTACTCTTGACTTATAAAACAAGATAATGATTTTGTAGATCAGTGGTTATCAATCTGTGGGTCCCCAGGTATTTTGGCTTACAACTCCCAGAAATCCCAGTCAGTTTACCAGCTGTTAGAATTTCTGGGGGTTGAAGGCCAAAACATCTGAGGACCCACAGGTTGAAAACCACTGTTCTGGAGCATAATGTCACAGATTGTTGTGAGGAGGTATACAGATAACTCTTCCTACATATACATTTACTGCAGTTTGTACAAATATACATACTGTCGGGAAACTTAGATTTTTCATTAGTTTAAATGCATCATTTACACACTTGAGGAGGAGGCAGGAACAGACTTTGGGAAATCCCTCCAAGTAGTGGAAAATACATGAGTGAGATCCTGAATCAGGAGGTGCACAGTTCCAGCATGATGAAATGATGATGTATGCTCCCTATCTCCTCTCCCTCTCCCTTCCCACAATTCTCCCTTTCCTCCTGCACCCACTCCATGCCCATTAAAGATCCCATGGAAAATGGGGGAACGTTGGGATCATTTGGTTATGTGACCATACCCAGACACCTGACAATTATGTCATCTTCCAGAACTGAATAGTTCCCATAAGGTGCCTTCATCATTGTGCATCCTGCTGCATATAGCCAGACACTTCAATTGCCCCATGCTCTCTGCCAGCAGCCAATCACAAAGCAAGGAGGCAGCAGGAAAGAATAGATTTTAAGAGGGAGTCATTTTATGAAGGAATTAGATAATTTTGACCTCCACAATGATTAAAAAAATATACCTCATTCTGTTTTAGCCTAATCATCTTCATGGGGATGTTGTGGAGATAAGTAAGAAAGTAATCATATACACTATCCCAGGCTCCACAGAAACAAAAATGCAATAAATAGGTTGGATTTACATGGTTAGGTGTGGGGATACAACTGATCTGGGGTTCTGAATGGGCCCCAAATTCGAGCAGTTAACAGAAAGCTACCCTAAATAGGAGATTTACAAGCAAGCATCTAGGGATATTCCAGATCCATTTTAAGTTGCAATAAATAAAAATGTCTACCTGGTTGAAATCCAGTGTAGTTTCAGCTCCCAGAACACTTAAGCAATCATAGCAAATTGCAATCCTGGCTGGGGAATTCTGGGATTTGTAGTTTTAAAATTATCTTTTCCATATTCCGGCCTTATCCTATTATTGGTTGAGGTCAAGGTTGTAAATCATTTTGACCCAGCTCTGGTCATATGTGCATGGATTAATCACACCTTTAAAGAAAGAGAGAGCTGCTAAAACTCTGTGAGAAAGTGAAGCAAAACTCCTGTAAAAGAACTCCAACAAAATATTGGAGACAAATTTCTCTATTGCTCCCTAGTGGCATTCATAAGTAGAAAACCTTGAAACTCTTGTGATTATATTTATGCAGGGGACCAATCTAATAGATTGAATCTATGTTAAAACTGCTTATGTTTTCCCAATTGAGATAGTAAAACTCAAAATAAGAGCCAATATGAAATGTTTCCCTATCTAACAAGTGGTTTTCATTCCATGAGAAGACCCATCTCAGATGTAAAATGGTTAAGGTTGTGGACTAAAGTATGCACACTTATGTAGGATTAAGCTCCACTCAACTCAGTGGTACTTATCTCTTGTACAAACCTGAGGCAGTTTTCCCCAGCTACTACTGCAAGATCTTTGACAGCAACATTTTTACATAAACAACTTGTTCCATCATCAGAAACTTCAAGAACTACAAGTCAAGAGTATAGTCGTCTCTAATCTAGGAACACTGCAGGATGATGAGTCTGTTGACAAGCAGCAATGGACGAAAACTCAGAGGGAGCTACAAGGGATGAAAGCAAAGATTGATCAGCAGGTAGGAAGCCTAGATGGAGTAGTATGATCATTCATGCTGTAAGCTCTGTAAGTAACAAGCCTTGTTCATATACAGTAGCTGGGAAATGGTATTAGTGTCTACTTTTTGTGCTCTGTTAAGCTCTAGTCCACTAGGACCAAACCATGAAATTTAAGCTCCATAACTATTGTAGACATGACAAAAATGACAACAGCTAGGTAGCATGTTGTGAAATCCCTTTGTTGATATCCTCTTTCTTGCTTGCTTAATTCTCTATGTATGTTTGTATGTATGTATGTGAATATGTACACAAATATTGAGATATCTTTGAGGTGGAAACCAGGTCTAAACAGTACTGAGTTTATGTTCCATATACACCTAATTTTATATACAATATTTTAAATAATTTTGTGTATGAGGCTATGTTTGTGTAAGTAAGTAAGTAAGTACACTGAACCATCAGAAAGCAAAGACACTGTTATTGCAGCCACCCACATGGACAATTTTAGATTTTGGAGTAGTTTAGATGTCAAAAATCCACATGAAGCTCAATCTATATTTGAGAAATTTATGAATTTTACAAATGTACATTAAAATGTGTATATAAATGTAGAAAAAATACAGTCAAATTTTAATTCAAAAAAGCAAACAAGCCTTGCAATCCAATGAAGACATGAGCCATAGCAAGCTTTACAGAAAAACCAAAAAACTTTGACAACCCTACGTCTTGCAGATATTCCCACTTGATACAGTAATATTTTCTGATTAATAAATTAACAAATGACTAGCATTGTAGGTCATGCTCCCTTACCTGACAATAAACCCCATTGAACTCAGTGATAATTATTTTTGAGATCTATGTCAGACTATTGAGATGCTTCTATTGACACATTTGTCAGTGAAGTCTGCAGAACTTAGCATTTTAAAACACTTGGCAGTTAAGCAATCAGATTCAGGACTGCCCCTCTGGAAAGGGACTGCACCAGGTTATTGACTGACATCCCTCACAGATTCAGTAAATCAGAAAGGAATGCTGTGTAGAACCTTATATTTGTTTTAAAGTAGCACAATTTGGGCTCAGAAGTGGATGTGAACAAATCAAGAAATACACATTTGCAATTTAAGGTTACTTCCTAATAGAGGTAGTCCTCAAGTTACAAACATGATAGGTTCCGTAGGTTTGTTCTAAAGTTGAATTTGTATGTAAGTCAGAACAGGTACATTTTTTAGTAGAATGCTATGTATATATTAGCTTTGGACAGCATTGGATAGGGGTATAGGGTGGCAACCTGTGCTGGACGGGGTTACATTCCCCCTGAAGTCACAGGTCCTCAGTTTGGGAGTCCTCTTGGATTCATCACTTACGCTTGAGGCTCAGGCGTCAGAGGTGTCCGGGAGGGCTTTTGCACAATTGAGACTCGTACGCCAACTGCGACCGTACCTTGCAAAGGCTGATCTGGCCGGGGTGGTCCATGCCTTCGTCACCTCTAGATTGGACTACTGTAATGTGCTCTACGTGGGGCTGCCCTTGAAAACGGCTTGGAAATTTCAGCTGGTCCAGCGGGCGGCGGCCAGGTTGTTGACTGGTGCTCCTTACAGAGAGAGGTCAACCCTCCTGTTTAAGGAGCTCCATTGGCTGCCGTTCACTTTCCGGTCCCAATTCAAGGTTTGGGACCTGCCTACCTGCATGACCGTATCTCCGTATATGAACCCACACGTTCCCTCTGTTCATCTGGAGAGGCCCTGCTCGCGATCCCACCTGCATCACAAGCACGCTTGGTGGGGACGAGAGACAGGGCCTTCTTTGTGGTGGCCCCCCGACTCTGGAACACCCGCCCCAAGGACATCAGACAAGCCTCAATGTTGGCAGTCTTTAGGAAGAGCTTGAAGACCTGGCTGTTCCAGTGTGCCTTTCCAGAATAGGAAACTCCCAGCATCATGTCCCGGACGCACTTTATTAGAGATTTAAGACTGTCTGCACATTGCACCTACCCTAGAATCCTACATTTCACCTGTCATATCGAGCACTTTTAACTGTACCCACTACATTTAGCCCGGCCCTAGTTTTTAAATGTGTCATGGTGCATTGTTTTATTGTTTATTGTTACTGCTTTAATGTTTTTTGGTTTGCTTATGAGTTATATAATGCATTGTTATGTTGTTTTATTGAGGGCTTTGGCCTTTGTATGCCACATCGAGTCCTTCGGGAGATGTTAGCGGGGTACAAATAAAGCAAACAAACAAACAAACAAATAAATAAATAAATAAATAAAATAACACCCCTGTGGGTTTTGTTTTGCTGTCTAAGTCCCTGTTCAGAAGATTTCAGCTCAATTTCTATCCCTGTAATAATTGGATTTTGAAAAAAATGACTTGTTGTGGAAACAAGGGTTGGTGAGAAAGCTTCAGTGAAGACACCTTTCCCCCATGATACCTCTTTCAGTTGTGAATTTCCCTTCTGAGAGGTAGAGTTCTCTCACTTCCTGTTGTCACACCACCATTCCTAATGATGAGTTGTTTGTAAGTCAGATGTTTGTAACTGCCTGTACATTTATACTGATGGTGATCTCAAATACTAAAATAAATGTGAACAGGACTAAGGCATTTAAATATACATATGTATATTGACAGAAAACCGAGTGGAAGTGGAAGCTGCGGGAACTTCAAAAAGAGCACCAAATAGAAAAGGAACAGGTGAGTACACTTAAGCATTTCTCACAGTATATTGATTCTTAATGTTTCCTTCCATAAGACAAGAGATACATTACCCTGATGTAAGTCAATATGGAGAGTATGTACAGTAGAGTTGTATTGTAGGGTCCACACTCTTTCCACCTGTGTTTAGTGTATGATCGTATCCTTAGGACTGCACGTGTGTAGACCCTGTGACTGCATTGCTTTGAATGCTCATGTGGGAGGACAGAGCCTGTAGGCAGTATCCCACTCCCACTCCAAAATCGATGTGCACACCCATAACTGCTGTGTTGGTTGTGCAGTAGTGGAATAGATAATTGTATATTACCAAATGCCCATTTCTAGAACAATAGGGCCATTTTCTGCAGTCCAAAAAGAACAAAAAAGAATACATCTGGTTTTCCCATGGCTGCTTTCACAAAACAAGGTTGCTGTGGGTACTCAGATGAAGCTTAAAAAAAAACAATCAAGCAAAATGTGCAGATATGCTGGATCTATATACATCTTAGCATTGAAAAATTAAGATCTTCATGCAAAATCAAATTTGAAGGTAGCCCGATTTATCTGGTTGCATTGAGAGCACTGTGCATTGAAACACTATGATCACTGGCACAATGATCACTGGCCCAGCTCTAAATAATGCACCTTTATCTGCCCAGCTAAAGACTGAGAATGAGAGGCTAAGATCTACCTTGTCTTCTGACCAAAGGAAAATAGCAGAGCAAAGCAAGCAGCAAATGGCATCACTCAGTGCCCAACTCAGGGAACAAGCAAAGATCATCAAAACTCAGGAGAAAACAGTAAGTCACACATACACATTCCTGTGCAAAGCTCTTGGCTTCCCTCTTGTGGCTTAAGTCGACTAGAAAAAGAGTGTAGTTACCTTTCATTGTTACAATTGTAATGTGATTTACTTATGCTTTACTGATTGCAAAAAAGATATAATTGCAGCACAGATCGTGTATAATAAGTTACTTCATATCTCCTGGCATATGGCTTCATAGACCCTCTCTGCTCTAAGACATTATCTCTAAAATAAACAGAATCCCATGGAGCAAATCTAATTGGACTGTACTGACTTCAGAATGGAATTAGCAAACAGAATATTTGAATGTTCTCTTTTTTTACTGTGAGAATATTCAAATATGCACTTTGCTGAGATTCTTGTAATTAAGCTAGTTTGATGGGGAGAACGTTTCATACCACAATATAGCACAGCGCCAGTCTGAAATTCTGGCTTTCTATTTTACTTCCTAGCATAAAATGTGAAATTCATGCTGATGTGCTTTGTGAAACTACCTTTTGAATATTTCATGTTATATTTGAAGCTGTAGGCACTCATATTATGTAACCAGTCATTATACCTTGTGAACAAAGGTTGATCTTTTAATAACTTATTTTGCCTTTCAGATTAAACTTCTATCATCCAGCAAATCCAGAGGTAATGGGCAATATCGAGAATGAATGGATTTCCATAGTGAACTCTAAAGTGTTCTTTCCCCCTCTTTTGTCAAACTGTATTATCAAAGGGGCAATTTTTTGGCAAGTGGATAAGGATGTTTTGCAACAGCCACGTCTGTCAATTTAAAACCCATAATGGAGTTAATCATCCAGCTCTTCTTCTAAGGTCATTCTGAACATTTCACTGTGATCTCAATGTCCATAAGTTTAAATCTGAAAGAGAGACCTAGAAGTAAGAGGTGCCTTTTTGATTTCTTAGTTATTTTCTCTTTTAGATAGTGACAATTTCAAGCTGCTTTCTAGAGACTAAAGTTTCTTGCAGTCCCAGTACAAACTCTGTGTCAAGGATTAATCATTCACAGCAATACTAAAGTTGCAGATCATGTTCTGATTTGAATCAAATTCCTTTGAGGGAGGAATCTGTAAAGTCTACAAGGCTGAATTCCTACCATGCATCTTTTCATTATGATGCTAAAAGAACAAATGTCTTCAACTGACTCTAAAGATTCAGCGGACAATGAAAAAACAACTGTTTCCTTCTTGGCTGTTGTCCAGAGAGACTTAAATATTTGCAGTGATTAGCACAACATAGAGTAAAATCAGTCCTTTAGTGGAAATGGAACTACAATGGCAGATGGTCTTTATTACTGGAATAGTAAATGCACACTGAGTTTTAGTCTGAACTTTAAGTAAGTTATTCAAGATGCTTAGTTCTATTTCCCAAATAGTTCAGCAATTTAGATGACTCTTTTAAAGTTCGGTATAAAACTATGAAGGCCCCACCTGCATGGAAGTCATCAGACACTGTTGAACAAAAGATGGAAAACTGTAGGACAAATGTCAAATGTATCACTTAAAAGGCTTTCGAGATTCTCTTACATGGTTAGTGTGTATCTCTGAAAGAGATCAGTGCCATTTATCTTCATGGCACTTTAGAAGGTATAACAGGAGAATTTTTTGCACTAGGGAGCTCGTAATATAAAAGTCAACCAAGGAGGAAACAACTAGTTTCCAATGAATAAACCCATTATATCTTATCCAGCTGGAGAAGTCAGTGGAGTTATTTTCCAGGTACATACATGACTCCCCCTTTATTATTATTGGGAGAATCTACAGAAGATCTCCCTGAGGGTTTGAATGCTGACCTCTGACTAAATATTCAATCCCTGTAATTCAGGGAAGGGGAATATATAGAGCAGAGAAGTTGGGCTGCAGAATTAGTGGAGCCCCCCATCCCAAAACCCTCACTCTGCTCCCTAGACACAGTTGCCTAGCTATCTTGGATAACCCTGGCAGCTGAACCCCTGACCTTTCCTGCTGCTGGTGAATGCCAGGTTGGTCAATGGAAAAACTGTTATCATTCGGGATTTGATCCTGGATAATCAAACTGGCCTGACCTTCATTGTGGAAACCTAGTTGGACAAGAGCAAGGGTGTTAATCTATCCCTGCTGGGTTTCTTGGCTCAGCAGCAGGCCAGGGTAAGGGGTTGTGGAGGAAGGGTGGCAGTGATATATCAGAGGGACATCTCCCTGACCAGGATCTCCCTGCTCCGTTCAGATGGTTTTGAGTGTCTCTACATTAGGGTGGGAGACTGGGACAGACTGGGGATCTTGTTGGTGTATCAGCCACCTCATTGCCCAACACTCTCTTTACCTGAGCTGTCGGAGTTGATCCACATGGGGCCCCTCTAATATGCGCTTAAGTAGGACCAGAGAAGCCTCCTCAGGGCAAGCACCATCACTTCGGAACTTCCTTCTGGAAGATTTAAGAGCTGCTCCTTCCCTACTGAGCTTCCAGAAGGAGGTAAAGACCTTCTTATTTAAGAAAGATTTTAACTAAAGATTTATATGCCAGGACTGGATAGAGTTTTAAGGTTCAACCACATGTTTATCGAAAGGGGTTTTTACAGGGAAGGAGGTAATGGGTTTATGATGTGATTTTGACCATGTTGTATTATATGGTTTTATTTTGTTGTAAGCTGCCTTGAGTCCACTAGGGAAGAAAGGCGGGGTAAAAATATCTTAAATAAATAAATAAATGTGAGGGCAACATTAAAACAGGAAAACGATGTGCCATGATTTCAATTGCATATTTATAGACTTAATTGATCGTCTAGTCAAATCAGTATATGAGAGCTTCTGAAAGCACCAGCTAGTGATTCATAGAAAATAATGTATAGTCGCATTTAAATCTTCCTCACTCTTTCTTAAAAAGTTGAACTTCATTGCAACTAATTCCCATTAAAATCATAATTTAAGTCAAGTTTAAGTTTCTAATGTTAGTTCTGTGAAAATGTGCAACAGCTGAGTTCTACCCACTAACGTGTCATTGTGGTGCACTTTTCCCTGAGAATTTGCTCATTAATTTCCAGAAATCCAAGAGGTGCCTAAGACAGAAAAACCAGAAGAGTCAACTGAAGAAGGTATTCTTCACTAATTTCAATATATTTCATACATTAATTTTATACTACATATTGAGTATGTGCTTTGAATTTGGTTGGATTCCTCATTGACAATTAAAGGATCCGGCATTTGAAAAACAATGCATTAAATTGTGATCATTCTAATCCAGTTATGAACCTTCTTAAATTTTTATTCATGATTTAGGTTGAGAGAGAAATCTAGATATGGGATCAAGCCTGCAAAAAATATATGAGGAAAATTCTGAGGAAAGGAGAAAGGGGGAAGATGATTTTCTATGACTGATAATATCTATGGCTGACAATTATCAGGGTGCTCCAATCTCAGAACTTTGAGTGTGAGCTTTTGAAGAGAGAGATCACAGGACTGATCAAGTGTCCAGCTGTCTTTGCTAATTTTCTGTCTAAAAAGTAAGAAGGTTGAATGGAGTCTATGGGACCTCATAAGGTGTAGCATCATTGAGCCTTGCTTGTAAGTGACTGGATATTCAAGTTGCCCTCCCAGTGCCCCTATGGCATCAGTAAAGTTTTGAAGATGAACTATTCTTGAAAATGTTATCCAATTCTCCCAAGATTTACTGAAATATTATTTTTGTGTGATTCTCTTCTAGAGTGTAGCTATGTGCTGTACCATTGTATTATATATTTATTATATGATATTATAATTTATTTATTTCTCTCTGTATTAAAATGCAATGATCCTGGACTCATCACTGAGCCTGGAACCAAAGGTTTCAGTGGTGGCCAGGAGAGCTTTTGCACAGTTAAAACTTGTGCACCAGCTGCACCCGTACTTTGGGAAGTCTGACTTGGCCACGGTGGTCCATGCTCTGGTTACATCCCGTATAGATTACTGAAATACGCTCTATGTGAGATTGCTTTTGAAGACTGTTTGGAAGCTCCCACTGGTCCAGCAAGCAGCAGCCAGGTTGCTCACTGGAGTGGTGCTCAGGGAGCACACAACTCCCGCATTGCATCAGCTCCATTGGCTGCCAATTTGCTACTGAGTACAATTCGAAGTGCTGGCTTTAGCCTTTAAAGCCCTAAATGGTTCTGGCCCAGGCTATCTGTCTGAATGTATCGTCCCCTATAAACTAGCATGTATATTAAGATTTTCTGGGGAGGCCCTGCTCTCTATCCCGCCGGCCTCACAAATGCGGTTGGCAGGGATTAGAGACAGGGCCTTCTCAGTGGTGGCCCCTCATTTGTGGAACTCCCTTCCTAGTGACATCAGAGCAGCTCCCTCCCTACTAGCCTTTAGGAAAAGAGTCAAACCCTGTCTCTGTGAGCAGGCCTTTGGAAACTAAGGCAATGCAGTATTTTTGAATTGAAACCTTATGCAATTGACCTTGGAACGGAGTCAGACCATGAACTTGGATAGTGTGTTTTCTAAGTTTTTAACTTTTTAAATCTGTTTTAACTCTGTTTAATATGTTGCTTTTTAAAAAATATATTTAGGTGATTGTATTGAGGCACAACGTTGTGCCATTGTAGGCCATCTTGAGTCCCCCTGTCAGGGGAGAAGAGAGGGGTACAAGTATGACAAATAAATAAATAAAATAATAAATATAATTATAATCTCTTGTTCAGTGCAGGTTAAGCACAAAATAATTTTATGGCACACTTGTGAACAGTGATACTAGTCATATATTCAGGGCAGCTGGGTGTTATCTAATCTCTACATGCTCTATGTGGGACTGCCACTGAAAAGTGCTCAGAAACTTCAGTTGTTTCAAAGAACTGCAGCCAGGTTGCTAACTGGGGCTGGTTACAGGGAGCAGACAACTTCCCTATGGCAGCAGCTCCACTGGCTACCAGGGTGTTTCCAGGCACAATTTAAAGTGCTGGTTGTGACCTTTAAAGTCCTAGACCAGTGGTTCTCAACCTGTGGGTCCCCAGATGTTTTGGCCTTTGATTCCCAGAAATCCTAACAGCTGGTAAACTGACTGGGTTTTCTGGGAGTTGTTGGCCAAAACACCTGGGGACCCACAGGTTGAGAACCACTGCTCTAGAATGACTCAGTGGTCAACCCACAGCAGAAGTTGATAGTAGAGTTGCACTAGATGAGCTAAAGATACCTAGAAAGGGGTTTTCTCAGAATATATATATATACTTTCACTGTGGTCTTGCATCTTAATCCCAGCAAATGTGGAAGTTCCACTGTACTGTACTTCCTTCTCTCATTTGGGCCATTGCTTTCAATGCAGAACTTGAAGATACATTAGACAGAAAGAAGAGGGTTCTAGAAGTCCTGAGGAGTGATCCAAATTTGCTGAAGCAGTTCCGGCCAATTTTGGAGGACACTCTTGAAGAAAAACTGGAGAAAATGGGAGTGAAGCGAGTAAGTTCCATAAGAGAAATAAAGCATAGAGAAAAACAATATTCACTTTCCACACATTCAAATGGCTTTTAATTCCTTTTCATGTTATTCCGCTAAAAGTTGTGATATTTGTTAATGCATCTGGCATTGCAAGCTAAATCTTAATACCAGAAAATTCCTAGAAAATAGCAACGATCAATTTTCTAATACATGTGCAAAAGTGGAAAAACATATGAACCATAAATAAACATACAAAGCCTAATGAGGAACATGATTCCATTAGATAGAATATGAAAAAACTTGCATGTTGGGAAGAATGCTGTGCATGCTGAGAATGTGAATGCTGTATATAAATTTTCATTCTAAAACAAGCCCTACATGAATCCATACCTAAAGAGGGAGGGCGGGGTGGAATGACAGGAAGAAAATATGTGTTGGATTTGAAGAAGTGCAAAAAAACTGAGGTAGATACATATTTATGTCCCTCGATCTACCACGAGAGGGAGCAAGAAGATCAGTATGGTTAGACTCCTCTTCTTCTTACAGGGTACAAAAGGCATCCCAGCTCAAACCTATAAGCATTTGAGAGATGTGGTAAAAATACAACAACAGCAGAAGGCCAAAAAATTTCCACATCTTCTTGCTTTGAGAGACAAGCTTGAGAAAGAAGTAAAAAGGAGAATCAATTGGGAACAGAAGGATAAAAGGGACACATCTCTGCCATTTCCCATAGTCTCAGGTACAGGACTTGCGCTATTCTGTCTTTAAAATCATGATTACCATCTTTTGTTTAATGTTATTTTATCTTTATTTGTATCAATCACCTCCATTTTAAAATTACAATGACTTATATGGCCTAAATTTAAGGTGGCAATAATATGGTTTTATTTCTGGGGAGTGCAAAGTGCAACCTGCAGGCTCCATGTAGCCATTAGATCCCGTTTTTGGAACCCATCAACACCCCCCCCCCCCCCCCCCGCATGCGCATCCCAACAGCTGCCAAGCCACTATTTTTTTAAATGTAGGCACGACTTGGGGACAGTTTCTGACACTCCAGTGTACAAAAAACAAAGGAAAAAACCAAACACCCTCAAAAGAATAATAGATGAACATATTGCTTCCAAATACATGTTTTCTTCCACAGTTCCAATTGTGTTGCCCCCTTCTTAATGAATGTAACTTTGAACTCCTGGTTAGATTATGGTAATGCACTCTACATAAGATTTCCCTTTTAAAATATCCAAAAGCTACAACTAACGCAAAATTTGTCCACCAGAACATTATCTAATATGTACTTAAAGTGGTGATCAATGGACCAGTGCTGGTCCACAAGCCATTATCTGCTGGTCCCTGGTAAGTTTCCAGGAAAGAAACAGTAGCAGTCAATAGGCATCAACATGGTGCCATATCCAGGCACACTGGGATAAGAAAATTAATGGTTATTGGTCACCCTTGTCAAATGTCTTAAGATCTGCTTCCCAAAAGAAGTTAGGTTTGATTAATCTTATTTCAGTTCCTGGTGGAAGCCAAGACCACACTGTTCATGTAGCATTTGGTTCCTAAACACAGGGATAACTCTGAGTGGGTGTTTTTTTTTGTTGTTGTTGTTGTTTTGGTATTGTGTGTGTGATTAAAATGTGTTCAAAATACAGAACACTATTCTACACCATCTATTTAATTATGATATGGTGAACTGGGCTATTATAGAGAAGTATACTTAACTTAGTAATCTCTCCTAGTCCAACCGCCCTCCCTCCAACCTGACAGAAATATCATTCTCTGGTAGAGTTGATGATCTTCTCCCCATGCATTTGATGCCCATGAAAGTAGTGGGGGAGTTATAATCCTGGTAGTAGAGTCACAATCATGTCTACATGGTAATAGTGAATATGGAACAGTTACAGATGAGCAAAATTTAGACAACTGTCCTGTATTTATGACCACGGTATAGTCACAATGGTGACAATATTCTCACAATTGTAAAGCCCCCTGATCTACTTTGCTGAGAATTTGTTGCATGGTGAAAATAAGGTTCATTCTGCTGAAAATCTGAGCATGGGTGTTCCCATCAGGTTTGGGAGCATTGGCCAAAGAGAAGTGCTTAAGTATACTTAACTAAGTAATTCAAATAAAATACTGGCCATTGCTTTTGGTTCATTTAAAAGAAAGGATTCAATCTGTTGTTCTTCACCTTGGGGTGTCTGAAAGGCTCCAAAGTGAAAGATACATATTTTAATAAATTAGGAAAGTGAATACAAATGAAGTCTCACTCTATATGGCACAGTCATTCTCTCTGTGCACATTAGATGCTGGCCAACTTGTTTTCCTCTAGATGTTTCCAATATTTATTTCCAGGTAAAAAGCAGACAAGCCCACAATCTCCAATCCTGGTCACATCTTCCGAGCCCAGAATGCAACAGATCGAATTACACTCTTATATCTCACCGTTGCCTAGGCCAGCTCCTCGGAGTAAGGTTAGCTCCATGGCTAGTACCCTGCAGACTTCCAAGTTAACTTCTCCAAAACAAGCCCACAATAGCTCATCTTCTCCACAACACTCTGTTGTTCACCAGCCCAGGTAAGTCCTGTACTAAGTCTTGATATTTTATCTCCCTGTGATTATGTTGAAATGTTATAGGTTTTTTGTGTGAAACTTGTTTTCATTATGTGTGTATGGTGTGGGAGTGGGGTGAGGTGTCCCTTGAATGACCTTGGCCAAGTCACCTACTCTGTTTCAGAGGAAGGCAGGAAAACCAGCTCTGAACAAATATTTCTAAGAAAAACCCATGATAGGGTTGCCTTAGGGCACATGTGTCAAATACAAGGCCAATGGACTGTATTTGACATGTCTGGCTCGCCACAACATGTTATGTGGCCCATGAGGCTTTCAATGCCAGGGCAACATAGTTACATTTATATAGCCTTACCATTACAGATGACACTTTGAAGGCAACCATATAAGGCTAATGTAGCCCTCAATGACAATGAGTTGCCTTAGGGACACTATACGTCAGAAATGACTTGAAGGCACACAGCAACAATCTTATGAAGAATTTTCTTAAGTCATATTGAATTTATTTTATAAAGAAAAGTCATTTAAAATAAATTAGTAAATTTCACCTTCCCTTGGCTCAAAAATCAACAATTAATTCAGGCTCTGACAAGGTTTGCAATGCTGCCTCTTTCTAGGAATCCTTAAAAACTCTGTTAGTCACATGTCACAGTGAGTTTGCTACATTATTTTATTTTTTCCCTAAGGTAACCTCATAATGTTTCTCTTTCCTAGCACTTCTCCTTTCAGCTCTGAAGAAGAGGAATCTGAGGAAGAAAAAAGTTTTACCTCTCCAAAGTTCACGCCACGCAAGACGCAACAAGAACTTTCCAGGATAACTCAGAAAGAGGACAGTGATTGGGATTCCTCTGATAGGGATTCTCCAGAGGTGAAAGACAATACAGGAATGGTTCTTCAAACTGCAGTGCCAACTCATTCAGGTGAAATATAATAGCTTGTTGTAGGAAGAATGACTGAAAGCAGTTTTCAATGAGGGATCAGAGGGCTTTTGGGAGATTTTGTGGTTTATCAGCCACATAGGGGCCATATCTTGGACCTGGCTGTGATTCTCCAGGTGTTTTGGATTTAGGATCCCAGAATTTCTGACCATTACACAAGCTGACTAGAACTTCTGGGAGATGGAGTTCCAAACACCTGGTGAACCACATGTTATGCAGGCCTGTCTTAGAGCATTGATCTGTTAACATTGCAAGTTTCTGCATTGTAATTTGATTTAGTTTAAATAAGGTTAGCCTCATCCACTTCTTTTTCTCTTTCTCTTATTGAAAGCCTCTAAAATGTCATCCAGTATTTTTTGGGGTAGACCATCCAATGCTGCAACCACAGCTAGTTATTAGCAGCCAATAGTAGTGCATTTTGCTCACCGTGTTTTGTTTTTTGGGGGGGTTTTTTGGCCTTCTATCACTTGTGTATGTTTTTGCTCAAATCCCATTCAATCCTGTTTCTGCCTAATCTGCAGGATAATCTCAAATCTATCATTTAATAATTGTTTATGTTTACCCACAATTGTTTTTGCTATCTCAACTATCTGAAGACTTCCCATTCCTCCAGCTGAGTTGTTGGGGTTGGGGAGTAGAGCTTTGCCTCAGTGCCACTCAGCTTCTGTTGTAGAGGGAAAAGTCTTGCTGAAGATGTGCAAGAAAGGTCTTGCACAACATCTACTTATGCTATAATATCCAGGGGGTCGCACAATTACACATTATTAAGATGGATACATTAACCTAATTATCTAATGTGTATTTAAATGTGTGCATTGTTGTTTTTTAATATGTCAAGATTTGTAGCCTTTGAATCCACCACTGTAGTGAATTCAATAGTGCTGAATCCATTCTTAAATTTGCCATTGCTCCTCATATAGAAGTCTCAGATTGGAGCCCTGCTAGTGCAACATCTTGTGACATAGCACCTATTCGACTCAAACCAACTGTGAGAGGAATGACAAAAAAGTCAAGAAAGGTGGATTTTCTACCTAACTCCAACATTTACTCTGTCAGCAACAGCATTCAGAGAAAAGCCACTTCTGTTGGATACAGTGTTTATTTTGATCAGAAAAGTACAGATCGGAACATTTTATACAGAAGTTTGTGAAAATCAAATTCCTCAAGTAACCCTAGTTAAGTTATGAGTGTCACATGGAAATCATTTGTGTGTGTGTGTTTGCACTTCACAAAACCCCGTTGTTGTTGTTGTTGTTGTTGTTGTTGTTGAGAAATGACTATCCTGTCCACCAGTCTGTTCAAGGCTAGTCTTAATATGGAAGGAAGGCACCTATGGTGTGCTAACATTGCACATGAATGCTAATCCACAATGTGAGGAGGATATAAAGACGGCTTTATATGGCACCAACAATATATCTTGACAGGGGGGAAACAAATCCCACCAACTGTCCCTCCAATATAAAGAATTCACACCACTTTGGCACCAATATAACGTTTGAGGGGATGTGTCTCCCTAATTAACTTCCGCTGCCACCATAAACAATTGTACAGGAACACTCTAGCTGGTTAAACTATTAAAAAGGCTTTTAAGATCACCAAGCACTGTGTCTTCTTATTTTCTTCTTTAAAGGGAAGCAGGTGAGGTTGAAAAGGGACTGTATCCACAAATGTACACTGGACTCAGGCTTATTAGTTTTAAAAATAATCAAGGAAAGTTTATTGATAAAAATACAGAATAAAGTGTAAATGCTCTTTAATAATCTTGGCTGTTACATAGAAAATGTTGGTTCTTGAAAGCGTAATGGTTACAAGTAAATGGTTCTTTCTTTGTTACTAATATATAGTTCTTCTGCTCTTTAACAACAAGTACACTTGACAGGATCTGAATCTCTGCCAAGATACAACTGTAGCTTAGCTACCCTCAGCTGTGGCCTAGCTAACTACAAATCCAGCTATCTCTCCTAAATAGCTATACCAGTTTGCTACAGCTTCTTTTGCTGGCAAACCTAAGGCAAACTGCCTTCCCTAAACTAATCTTAAAACACGAACTCCTAAACTACCTTCCTACTCTAATCTCCAACAACAACAGACTGACTGAAAAAGCCCTCTTCTTTCCCTCCAAACAGTCTAACTCCGCCCCCCTTTTATAAACCAATCCTGGCTGTTCTCAGGCTGTCTTAGGCCTAGGCCACTCCCCCTCTCTGAAATGGTGCTTTCCCTAAACTAAAATGACTCCTGCTGCCCTCTGCCAGGCTTCCTAAAGCTGCAACTAACTGGCCTGCTTCTCCTAGGCCCTGCCACCCAGGCTGGAAAGGTAAGGGATCTTTACAGAGGACTTCTGTGTTAGATTATTATTGCTGCGAGCTTCAATGAACAAACACTGACACTGCTTCATAGCTTTGGTTAAAACCATTTCTTGACTTTGCGGTTCTGACTGTCTTTATTAGTACTACAAGGGATTTAAAGTCATAAATTGCCCTGTTATGAAATCACTTAGTATGATGAACAAGGTTGCTGTCACATGTGTTGTTTCTGTTCTGATCCTATCTGATTCCATGCTTGATGCAGAAACACTGGTGCAGTCAATGGCTAAAAATTTGGAAAAGCAACTGAGCACTCCTGGAAAAAAGCCTGCTGGTGGAGTGAAGCTCTTTTCTGTACCAGCCAAAGAAGTGTCTACATCCAGCCATGCCACTAAAAATCTTCAGGTAATCTGAACATCCATTAAGAATGGTACAAGAAAGTTTTGTTTATTTTTATCGTGTTTGTCTTTGTTCTAAGTCTAATCCTTAAAACACAGAACTGTTTTGTTTCAGTATCATTTAGTACTGTGACAGTTGTATACATGTTTACTCAGAAGTAGGTCTCATTTTGTTCAAAGGACTTACTAGCAATTGTCTTTGAGATCATAGTTTAGGTGATCTAATTCTTTTGTGGGCTGTACTTCTCCCAAACGCAACAGAAACAATGTGGCATCACTCTCAGCCGCATTGTTTTGCCTCTCTACAGACAATTTCAACCTTTTATCAGGGTGTGGTGGGAAGGAAAAGAAAAACTATCACATTTACATAGGGGCCACTTTAAAGGGGAATTTCACGATTGGCTAGGAATGCTTTGCTGAAGTTAGGGGTCGGATGGCTTTGGGTATCTCTGTAAAAGTCTTGTGGGAGCACACAAAAAAAAAGGTTTGGTGCCACATGTCACCCACAGAACTCACTTCCTTTAGTCCAAATTTAAGGAAGCTATATTTTGCTCCAACAGAGGACATAACTTCATTATTTTTAGTATTTCAAAGTAACAACAAGCAACAGCCTGTTTTTAAAAAGGACTTGTATTTTGACCTTTATGATTGTAAAAAAAATCAGCTTGGATATGTGTGCACAAAAATGACTTCAAGTGTATAAGTTTAAAATGTTTATCAAATTGCATTCATGGACAAACATTCATTCTAAATTTATTTTGTGATAAAGTAGTTGTGTACATTGGTAGATATTTGAGCTGAGATGTATATCATGATATTAATAGGAGTACACATCCAAAGTTTAATTAAATTCTAATCGGCACACTAGTCTAAAAGTGTGAATCACATCGGTTTGCATCAGAATTGACGAATAAACTGTCCAAGCAATCTGCTTTGTACACATCTGCAGTTGCTTTCCTGTTTCGTTTTGTTTTCCCCTCTTCTTCCCTTCTGTAGTTCGTTGCTGAGGAGGATAGTGATTTAGAAATTTCATCTATAGAGGAAGTCACCCAGCACCTGAACACCAAAATCAAGAAACTGCAAGGTGTCGGAGTTAGTGGGGAGTCATCTGGGTCCCGGAGCACCTGGAGCTCCAGCAACCCAAGGACTGGTGCCTGGTGATTCCTGCACTTATCTGAGTACTTTCAGATCACAATGGCCTTGTGAGATGGAGTCTCACCCCATGAGAATCCAAGAGAAATATGAAGCCCATAAATGAAAGAAAATGATGCAGATTTTAGAGAAGAATAATGTGCCGGTTTGTAGGTTCTATGTGCATGTAAAATTCTTCTCCTGAGTTGCTCATTCTTTGCAGCCATGCATGTGATAAGCCTCATAAAAACAAGATGAATTTACTATTTTGCTGAAGTCTATCTTCCAAAGATGTTGACATTTCATAAAAGAAGATATAGATTTGTAAGGCAGAGTTGCACTAGCCCAAGCTTTGTAGCTTTTCATGTAGCCTGGGAAGACATTCCCACAACTGATGGTTTGGAGAAGGAATGTTGAAGATCAGCTGTGATCTCCAGAACCATTTTAGGGGATCATTGATGCTGGGCCAGACTAGACAAGACATTGAGAATGTGTGGTTATTGGAGACCCCTTCCCAATGTTTTCCCAAAGACTTAAATAGCAATTTTGAAAGAGAGGTAGTTTAGATTGGGAATATGTCACCAGAGGTAAATTCACTTCCCCATAACATCATGATCCTGTTCAAATTTTAACAGAAATAGAGATCCATTCATCAATATTCAATATCTTCTTAAGTCAGTGGTTCTCAACCTACGGGTCCCCAGATGTTTTGGCCTTCAACTCCCAAAAATCCTAACAGCTGGTAAACTGACTGGGATTTTGTGGAGTTGTAGGCCAAAACACCTGGAAACTGACAGGTTGAGAATCACTGTTTTAAGTTAATGTCCATGGGCATTTCTCTCACTTTGGGGTGGAGGGAGCAGGAGGTAGAACTGCCCATGGAACTCTGATAAGGACATATTATCCCAAAATAGATGCAAGAGACAATATATATCCTGTCTTTCAGCACCTCCTTTTTCCTGGTAATCTTCAAATTTCTATGGCTATCTTCTTCCCTGACTTTGTTAGCCCGGTGATAATATCATTGGTAGTGACTCTGTAGCTCTTCCAAGACTTGGTGCTGCCTTAATCCAAATTCCTTCCATTTGGTGAAAGAAGATAATCTGGGATTGTTCCTGGGGAATCTAGGCAAAATGTCTTAGAGGTGTACAACTGAATCTGCTCTACTGTGATAATGGTTCTTCACTGTCCTAGTAAAGATACAATTCTCCATGGGTGAAGTTTCTCTTTTTCTTCTGAGGTTTGTTTTACATCATAATCAAGCTGAACCCAGTTATTTTCGCCCATACTTTTTAATGCATTAGTGGAGTTCAAACACATACACACATATTTAAATTAAATTAAATTAAATTGCTGAATAGAGGTGACCACTTGGTGGCACCATAACTCAAGAAACACAACTTATTTCTTGAGAGGTTACAAATTGAACTTGATAGGAAGGAAAGATTTTTCCAAGTCAGTGTATACAGGGGTTGAATAGGATGTAAGGATCAGCCACTGGATTGTACAAAGCACTAAATAATTGTTTGATTATAAGATGTATAAAAAAAAAGCACAGAAATATATGTCCAACCCCCTGCTTCTTGGCAGGAGGTTGGACTGGACTGCTTCTTGGCAGGGGGTTGGACTAGATGACCCATGAGGTCTCTTCCAACTCTATGATTCTACGATTCTATATTTTAGATGTTTTCTCTGTATCACTGAAGGGACTGGTACAAATATTTTCTCAGTCCATTTTTCCAGGATTTTCTCAATCTTCTTTATTGGCTACACTGAATACTGTAAGGAGGCTTGGACTCCTCAGGCATGATGGAACTGGGATGTCTTTAAAGGCAAATGCTCATGAAGATTTCTGAACAGCAGTTTTTGAACCAGTAGCAGCTGGTAGCTCTAGTATCAGTAGGAAAACAAATCCACTCCGGGATTTGGTCCAAACTTTAAAAGGGATGTTGATTGTGCTGAGTATATTTTAAGAATAGAGTTCAGCATCCTGGATAGTTCATTTAGATATCTGGCTAAAATCCAACAAAATCTGCAAAGGTGTGATATCTTTAGTGGCCAACCACAATAGAGAAAATATGCCACCCTTATTCTAGACTCCATGTTGATATGCAAAACTGCTGAAGATAGCGAACCCTATTGAAAAGAAGGACTTCCAGCTCAAGAAAACCATATAGAGCAGGCATGGGAAAACTTCAGCTCTCCAGGTATTTTGGACTTCAACTCCCACAGTAGGAGGGCCAAAGCCAGTAGGAGGGCCAAAGTTTGGCTATGCCTGATATAGAGTCATGCTGGAGGACCTAGAGAATGCCTACAGATTATTTATTTGATCAGATGTGGATAAATGAAACTGAAGAAACCCAGTCCTGTAGATATAGAAGTCATACTGTATATCATGCAAGCTTTCTAAACTTCAACCATCCAGGAGGAGAAAAATGGTGATGTTAAGTATCATAGGCCTCCATTTTGTCTCAGATGTTACTTATGTTGTCAATTAAAGGGAATTCAATGCAGGCAAGGACCTTTCTCCTTCTTGACCATATGTAGACCAAGAAAAAGAACACAGGATAAAATTCAGTGCAGGTTACCAACCTAACAACACTAGAACCTAGTTGTTAGATTCATAAAGTAGTAATAGTCCTGTCCCACTTTTGTAAATAGTGGTTCTTATTCCTTTTATTTAAAAATAATTTACCATCTGCTTTCAGTCTTTAGAACCTGACCCAGAGTAGAATCCTTGTTTCAAGCTTGTTTTTTAGCACACTTAGAGGATGTGTGGTGAATTTCACCATACATTTCCTTGGTTCCTCCAGTAACCATTATTGGCACAGAGTAGGAACAAGAAACCAATTTGCATATAATTTAGAGCACTGCAAATTATTAATTTTTCATCTTGTCTAAAACTGTACAAATCTTGTTTACTTAACTTGTGAAATGAAACCGAATGTCTCAGTATGCACATTCATACAATTTGCTTCTGTTCTTTCATGTGTAAAAAAAAAATGGGAATACAATTCTACTCCAGAAGGATGTTGGAATTTTCCAGCCATGAAGCTATCACTCTGTGCAGAAGTCATTTTTATATATTATTCAGACCACAGAGCATCAGCTTTCATTGGTGGGATTTTCTGATTATAGAAAAGGCAGAGTTTAAAAAAAAGAAGAAGAAGGAAAGAGAGGGGGGAGAACTGTTTTCTGCTATAGTATTTGCTTTCTGATGTGAAATTTGGTTAAGAGATTATTTGTTCTTGAGATAATTTTTATTGGAGGTGAAAAAGCTTAAAACGATACATAAGATATAGGTTAAGAACACTTGGAGACCCCAGTGGTGCAGTGGGTTAAAGTGCTGAACTGCTGAACTTGCTGATTGAAAGGTCGCAAGTTCAAATCCAGGGAGTGGCATGAGCTCCCACTGTTAGCCTCAGCTTCTATCAACCTAGCAATTTGAAAACATGCAAATATGAGTAGATCAATATGTACTGCTCCATTGGGAAGGTAACAGTGCTCCATGCAGTCATGCCAGCCACATGACCTTGGAGGTGTCTATGGACAACACCGGCTCATCAGTTAAAAATGGAGATGAGCACCAACTCCCAGATTCAGACACAACTAGACTTAATGTCAGGGGAAAATGTTTACTTTTACCTTTACCTAAGAACACTCACACTGCAGAATATGTGAATTCAGCACTTTTCACTGTGAAATAGTATTTGGATGAAAAGCCTGTTCTTGCTGTTGTTAATACAGATTGTATATATAATGCTGCATAAAACCATTCTAATTTATCTTTGTAAATCCTTGCAGCTATAGAGAATTTATATTTGTATGAAAGATTAAAACTGTATTTGTAGTGTAAACTGTTTGCCTAACATAGTATTTGTCATACCATAAATAAAATGAGGGACTAGAACATAAAGTAGTAGTCGTCCTGTCACACTTTTATAAATAGTGGTTCTTATTCTTTTGATTTAAAAATCTCTTACCATCTGCTATCAGTCTAAAAACTGACCCAGACTAGAATCCTTGTGTCAAACTTGCTTTCTGGCAGACTTAGAGGATGTGCCATGAATTTCATCATCCATTTCCTTGGTTCCTCCAGTAACCATTACAAGCACAAATTAGCAACAGAAAACCTTGCTGTACAAAGTCTGCACCGTCTCTACATAACTTCAGCTATATCTTCTAATATTAAAATGGATGGTCTTTTTACTGCAGAGAAGTGATACAGACTTCACAATATTCATGAACCTCATTGAATCCAAGACCAACAACAAAATAAAAGAAGACATCTGAGTGTTTTTTGATGATTACAGTGCCTAGAGATTGAAGTATTATTCCTTCCAAAGTTAAAAGAAATGTGGGGTTTATTTACACCAGATGAAACAAGAAACAGAGTTAGGAGAAAAACAACAATCCATCAGCCTTTTTTTTCAAACATTTATTCTCTGTGTGTTGAACAAAGCAATGAAAAGTTTATTTTCCCCATTCATTTTCATTATTCAAAACTCATTTCTTTTGTTACTCATTCAGAAAAATCACATCTGTTTTATAAATAATTCACCCTAAGTGCATCTATTTAATTATTCAAATTTGTATTGCTTTTGCTCCTTTATTTTCAACTGGATGGGGTTTTTTTTCCACACTGCCTGCAGTGACAACAGCATAATATTTCAAATCTACTACCAAGTAGGGGGCTGGGTCTTCCCTCCCCAAACATCCAAGATCAAGATAACATACAGGATATTTCCCCACTCAATAAAATGACAGCATTCGGGGGCCAAGAGAAGCTCTGATGGCACAAAAATAAGATAAACCCCTTTTTTTGCTTCTCTGAATATAAATGGGATATTTTTTTTAAAAAAAATACTCATTTAAGAATCACCTTGAAATTGCTCGACTGCTTCATTTACATTTTCAATCTGTTCCAAAATGAATATTCCAGGTTAGAAATATCCCATTCCCCCTTAACTTCAGGTTCAGCTTAGTTGATCCACAGAGCCTGCCAGCTCCCATCTCATGATGTAGAGAAACCTCCAGCAGGGCATCATTGGTCAACTAGAGTGGAGCCAGTGTATGCCTCTGCAGCAGCAACATGCGAGACTTCCCATGTTGCACAGGAAGCAATGGGGAGAAGCTGGACGGTCAATTATTTCCCCTTTATGATAAGCTTCCTGGCAAGCCAGGCAATGGGGGGTGTGGTGCAACAGGTTCCCCAAGCCCCCCGATGGTGGTTGCCAGATTCACCATGATTCCAGTGGCTCATGTGAAGAGATTGTGTATAATATCTCTATTTTTTTTCCTGCAGTCTCTTTCAAAATGCCAATCTCAAAATCCTTTCTTGTTGCCATTTTTGTTACCTTCTATTGCCATTTTGAAAGGGACTGCAGATAACCACAGAAATATTTGAGTATGGAGTACACATGCAGTCCCTGAGTTACAAACATCTGATTTAAGTATGAGTCATAGTTAAGAACAGGAGTGAGACAACAGGAAGTGAGAGAACTCTACCCCCGGGAAAGGAAAGTCACTCTGAAACCATGTCTCCTCTGAAGCTTCATCATCAATCCTTGTTTTCCCAACAAGTCACATTTTTCAAAATCCCTTTATCACAGGGACAGAAAATATGGTGAAATCTTCTGAAGAGAGGACCTGATTCCAAAAACAAACACCACAGGGATGTCAACATTTCCCAATGCTATCCAAAGCTTACACTTAAAATGTACCTGTTCCAACTTACATTCAAATTCAACTTAAGAACAAACCTACAGAACCTATCTGTTTATAACTTTGGGACCACCTGTATTGGGAGGAATTCATATGTGTTCATTCTTATGGATTTCTATGTGGTTTGAGGACACAAATATCCAAAAGAAATGCTGATTTTTTAATGGGGAGCAAGTGAAGAAGTCATGCAAGTGAAGAAGAAAAGGGAATGGCAAGAAGAGTGAAACTGCTTCTTTAGAAGAAGACAGGAGGAGGAGGAAAAAGAAGTAATAGTAGTTACCTGCCTTTCTTTGTGGCTCAAGTGTACAACAGAATTAAAAGAAACAGATAAAATGCCACTCTGTTAAAATGCATATACCAAAATACACACAACAAAGACCAACACCAATAAAATTCACAGTTTAAAATTGACTGAGTAGGCCTGCGGGAATATATAGGTCTTCAGTTGTGTTTTGAATTCTGACAACTGATTTAGCTGTTGGATCTCTTCTGGCAGATCATTCAACAGTCACTGGGTGGCCAATGAAAAGGTTCTCTGGATGGTGGTTGCCAGTTGGATTCTGGCTGGCTGAAGTAAATGCTTCCCAGACGACCTAAGTATCTGGGATAGATTATATGGGAGAAGGCGAACCTGAATCCAAACCATGTAGGACTTTAAAAGTCAAAACACTTTGTATTTTGCCGGGAAACTAATTGACAACCAGTGAAGGTACTTATCTGGCTGCCATATTTTGAACTAATTAGAATTTCTGAAGTTGATACAAAGGTAGCCCAATGTATTGCAGAATTCCAACCTTGAGGTTACCAGTGTACACGACCATCTAATTCTAGGAGGGGGTGCAGCTAGTGTAGCAGCCGAAGTTGTGAAACCAGACATAGTGGCAATCATGGAAAATGAGCCTAGGACATGGTAAAAATCTAATAAACCAGATAATATGGCAATCAAGAAAACTATGTCTTAATATTTCACCGATGGTAATGGAGTTACCCGCATGAAGATATGCTATTTCTTAATATATTACTCTTGCTGTAAGACTTGCTTAATATAAGTGCATGGTGGAGCATGAACATAAAAGGTGAATTCCTTTGCTATCTCTGGTGTGCAGAAGATATGGCCACAAGAGTAGGAATGCTGTGGTAAAGACGCAGTTAATTATGAAAGAATATGTCATGGAGAAGAGCAAGATGAATTAAATGTGAATCTGATCAAGACCAAGGTCATGTTTAATTACCACTCTGTATGAAATCACATTAGAAGAAGGAGCACTAGTACAAATAGTGTGTTAATTAATATTATTATCTAGGAGAAAGTGCAACTCTGTCTAGCTAGCATGGCTAAAAGAGAATGGGATTTGGACAGAGAGCAATCTCAGGATGAATATCATTTCTTAAAATTCAAAACTGTAAAACTGATACATCCAATTTATGGTTATCATCATTTTGTCCAAATCTCATAAAGTCTATAAAGTATGAGAAGATGACCTGAGTAATGCCTTGGTAAACTCAAAAAAGTACTTGCTAAGTGGGCCCTATTAAGAAAATGAAAGGCTAGAGTCATATCCATGTATGTGTCCATACAAAAACATCTAGATTTTTTTTGTCTGATACAGAACTTTTGCATTCAGTTCAAGCTTGTGGATGCAAAGTTGCTCATTTGGTGCCACAGCACATGCAGTTGCTCATTGTACACTGAAGAGTATTTCAGATGTTGATGTGAAATATGCCTAGAATCCTGTCTAGCAGATACCAGATCGTAAACTGGATTTACAATAATATATCTCCTAGGGATTAACACTTAAGTTCATGAACAATTAAACATAACCTTAAAAGCATACCTTTGCAGCCTGGCAATATAGTGACTAATATGTTACTGAGACACTAGAATTTGGAGCACTGAAAAATAACATCCACAATGCACTTCTGGTTCAGGGTGCCTTGTGGTAGGCAGTTTTGGCAGGACCCTGAGGGCTCTCTCCAGCTGCCTGTTCTCAAGCCACCCTGGGACCAGGAACATGATGTTATAAACATCATTTCCCAGTGTCCCAACCCAGTGTCCCAACCCACAACACCTCAGAAATGCTTCAGTTGAAACATTGCCAGACTATGAAAGTAAGTTTGGGGTGGCACCTTCAATCATTACTATGATTATTGGAGCTCCGTTATCCTATTTACAATGACATTGAAGTATCTCTGCCTATGTGGTAATATGCATCATACATAGATGTCCATATGCAATTGATTGTACATCTGACTGTCCATTTGATGTCTTGGTTCAGTTGGACAACGTTTTCCAACAAAATGATCATAAATTAATACATAACTTTGCATGCATAGAATTACAATACACAACCCCAGTGTTGGTTCTCAGGCATAGATTTAAGGTGAAATAACACATTTTTTAAATGTGTTATTTTTTTTGCATGATAGCAAAAAGCAAACAACAACAACAACAAAAGCTCTTCTATGACCAATTTAAAGTAGATTTTTAAAAAGGTTTTACAGACTAAGGACCTCTTCACATGAGCTATTTCTTGGTGACGGGTTTTTAGCAGTTTTGCCACTAAGCCCAACGACTCCCATCACAACCTGGAGAAGTACTTCCGTGGCAGCTCTGTGGAAGCATTACATAAAAAAATCCTGCTGCCATGGATTTAGATGGCTTGAAATGATTGCCTGATGCTTCCCCCATGTGATAAGGTAGGGGAGAAGCTGGAACAGTGCAGGGCATAGGGCAACATGTCCCCACATCCCCTGGGTGGGCGCTACCACAATCATCACAATCCACAGCGATCCTGGGCAATTTTGGCAGCGTGTGTGAAGAGGTCCTAAGTCTACTTCTGCAGATACAAACTGAAATTCCAAACTAACAAGGCTATGTCTCTGAAAAATGACAGAGTTCCTTAAAACTAGTTATAAACCTAAAACTGAAACAGCAAGCTTGGTGGTCAAAATAATCAATGTGGAGATACCTATACATAGCCATATTTCATAAATTTGATGTTTGAAATATGTCCTTCAGAGAAGTATTTTTCTTTTTAAAATGAGCCTCAAAACATGTATTTATTGCCCGAGATAACTATTCTTACAGTGGAATTATATTCATGTGTACTCAGAAGTAAGTTTCAGGAAGCTCAATAAAATCTATTGCCTAATAAAGTTTCAGAGTTGAGCTCTGAATACAAAAGTTAAAAT